AAATCTTATATTTAAAATAAACGTGTCATAATTTGAATTTGTCATAATAGAATTTATGCAATAGTAGTAATATAGTAGAACTGAATGTTATTTTTTTTAAATAACCCATTACAGTTTATAAAAAAATACAGGTATTTATATATCTTTATCAAAAAATATGTAAATATTTTATTTTTAATAACGTTTACCGTTATTAGGAAAAAGAAAGTGACACGTTATTTCCTAATCCTAAGTAGTAGCAGTGACTAAGCAGTAATGTTATACATTTAATATCGACATTGCTTTCAGGACTCCGTTACGAAACGCACTCCAGTGCATTGCGCGGCTGCGGCTGGTCACTCCGACTGTCTGGCTCTGCTCCTGGAGAACACGGACGATCCTCGAGTGGTGAATCGTTATGACGCTAAGCAACGTACAGCCCTCACGTTGGCGGTGGCGAACAGCAATCCGGAGTGCGCGATTTTGCTGCTGAAGCACAAGGCCGATTGCAATCTACCGGACATCAACAAGCACACACCGCTGTTCCGAGCGGTGGTGAACGAGCGTGATCATCAGCTGGTGAAGTTGCTATTGAAACACGGCGCGCGTGTAGCGGTGCAAGATGCGAACGGTAAAACGCCATTGCATTTGGCGGCGGCATGCGGAAGGTGAGAGAGACGCCCATGTAAAACTAGGCTTGAGAAAGTTACTTTTTTTCTTGACATCTTGTTACCGTTATTAGCGAAAAGAAAAATAATATCGTTACCAAGTCGTTGCTAAAAAAAAAGGCAACTCGCAACGGTAATAGAAAGTTACGAGTAACGTGTTCGTTTCGTGTAAAATGATCGCGTCTCATCTGAAACCTTCTTGCAGACTGAACGCTTTAGCGGCTTTGGTGAAAGCGGACCCGACGGCAGCTACCTTGAAAGACGATCAGGGTTGTACTGTGCTTCATTGGGCTTGCTACAACGGCAACTCGAATTGCGTAGAATACCTCTTGGATCAGAACGTGTTCGACTCCTTGGAAGGCGAGTGATTTTCTTCTCCTGTTTCATGAAGCGGAATCGTCCGATGACGTGTTTTAGAGCTGAGTCTTCGCGTTTGTTCGCAGGCAATCCGTTCTCCGCCGTTCACTGCGCCGTTTATCAGGGCTCCGCGCACTGTTTGGACTTACTGATTAACAAGTTCGGTGGGAAAACAGTGGCTGCGCCGAGGGACACCTTGGGCGGCCGATTGCCGTTGCATGTCGCGGCCAGCGCCGGCTCGGTTGAGTGCGCGCGATTGATCCTGAGCTCGGTCGGGCCGGAATTAGCCGGACTGGAAACGCCGGATTACTCCGGACGGACGCCGCTGCTCTGCGCGGCCGTCACCGGGCAATGCAACGTCATCGGTAATACGATCATACCCTTAAGGTTCCTGGGGAGTCGCATCATCCATCTCTTTTTAATGACGTCAGAAGCGAGAAAACGCATGCTAAAAATTCCTGCAAAATACGTCGAGATAAACAGATATATCCACAAAACGACATTTGCGATCGATTAAGTACACCTCTAAGATACTCCGTACACTTTCCTTTTGTTCTAACAATCAACAGATAATTATAAAATAAATGTGACGTGCAATCGTCTTTTCTAATCTAATTTCCTCATTATCTTGTCATATTAATTTTCCGATTATCTATTGATTTTTAGAACAAAAGGAAAGTGTACGGAGTATTTTAGAGGTGTACTTAATCGATCGCAAATGTCGTTTTGTGGATATATCTGTTTATCTCGACGTATTTTGCAGGAATTTTTAGCATGCGTTTTCTCGCTTCTGACGTCATTAAAAAGAGATGGATGATGCGACTCCCCA